ACATTATTGGCTTTTTATTTTAGAGATGGTGTCGTCATTTACTAGGTCTTCATCATTCCCAATATCTCCAGCCACATTTACATAAAATAATTAAAAACCTTGCCCACCTCTAATTGGTCACAAGCAATGGCTTCATTTTCCTTCAGTATGATGTTGGAATGTGAAGTATTTCCTTTTTTTTAGAAAGGAAAGGTTTGATAGTTTGCCAGAAAGCATGTGATTTGGGCCCACCAGCATACCTTTCGTATCTCTGTAGAAATCTCAACACGAATTGAAAAAAGACTACCTATACTACGACGGTCAAAATGAGAAGGGTCTCACGGCAATACGGTATATGTAACTGAGGAGATTTATCCACGAACTGAAAACAGTCGATCTAATCAGAGAAAAAGGTCTCACGGCTGTACTTTACATCAACAGAATATAATCAATAAGCGTAGACAGCTAGTAATAATCTTTATAAATAAGCGTAGTCATTGGACAATAACCTTGATCAATTAGCGTAGTCATGGGGTAATGTTCTTTATAAATAAGCGTAGTCACTGGGTAATAATCTTTATAAATAAGCGTAGTCATGGGGTAATGTTCTTTATAAATAAGCGTAGTCATTGGGCAATATTCTTTATAAATAAGCGTTGTCATCGGGTAATAATCTTTATAAATAAGCGTAGTCATTGTGTAATAATCTTTATAAATAAGCGTAGTCATGGGGTAATAATCTTTGTAAATAAGCTTAGTCATTGGGCAATAATCTTTATAAATAAGCGTAGTCATTGGGTAATAATCTTTATAAATAAGCGTAGTCATTGGGCAATAACCTTTATAAATAAACGTAGTCATTGGGAAATATTCTTTATAAATAAGCGTAGACATGGACCAATAAGCATAGTCATTGTGTTATAATCTTGATCTGTAATCGTAATTAGTGGCAATTAGCTTGATCATCAATCGCACACACAAAGTAATACAGTATCTACCTAAAACAATATGTTTCATAAGTATAATGTGTCAGGTATCATTGATGTTTACCGAATGTTTCTACTTATTTACCACTTAAAATGTCCATTATTAATAAATTTAATAATGTATTACGTTACTATTATGAAGCGACTATAATTCGTCACTATAACCATCTCAGTTAATTTCGCTGAAAGTGTATGCACAATCGCTTTTTTCCAATAAACACGGTTAACATTCAATTAACATTTTATCAGAAATGTGGCATGCACAAGACACAAGACCTGTTGGGAGAGACGGTTTATCATCTGGAGTGTCTGTACGAAACGGTAATGTTGCTGATCTAATGTCTAATGATTAACGCCTATACACAGGTATTGTACAGTAGACAGAAGGATCTTTTAATTCAGATAGTTAAAGGTTATCGCTATCGCTAATTCTTAAACTTCAAAAACAGGAAATAAGCAAAAAGAATTGAAAACGATACAGAATTTAAAGAACAAACACAGATCAAACAATGGTTAATGCCAAAACCCATATCGAATCATTTGCTACTACAGCAAATTTATTAAGATAAAGAGAATCTTATACTTTCAAATATGAATGTTTTTACGTAGATTTGCGACGGCTCCGAGTCTCCGCCGAATGTCATCGGAAGGCGTAAGCGTGATGCATTCAAGCCGGAAGTGACATGTTGCGACACCGACTTATGCAACCGTGAAATCAACACGCTTTCTACCACGGAAGGTGATGCTGAAATCAGTATGTGGACGAAACAAGTGAAGCGATTTGAAACAATGACATGTTGCTTTTTCTTATTTAAAAAAATAAGACAGTGAATGCAGTAAATGTGAGAGACACCACACAAGTAACAGCTGTTTTGAATTGTTCATGGTTTTGATAAGAGATCATTATACAGCAATATTTCCTTGAAAGCTACACTTTTTAAACGCCCGTTTGTAATGCTTATATCATTCCATTTTGTAGTGTCATCTATAGGCTCTACCACAGTTCCCGGATGTCATGATAACAGCGCATGTGCAGTCTTTGGCCTACATGTCTGTAACAACGTCGTCATTGCCACTCAGTTATGCCCGGCGACGTGTAATCTGTGCAGAGGTGTCGCATCTAGTATACAAGATGGCGGTTCCACTTCTTCCGGTTTACAGCTGACATCTCCGGGTTTGTGCCAGGACAGGAGCACAGAATGTCCTTATTTACAGAGTAGTTTACACATTTGTGAACACTTTGACGCTGTCATTCATTTCGGATGTTTGAAGTCGTGTGGATTATGTGATTCAACCTCTACCATAGGTAAACTTCAAGGTCATGACCTTGTGCTGAATATAAGGTCAAATATTGTTTAACACCATTCCTATTATTAAACCTTACTTTCATGGTTATAAAGTTCATGCACGTATATACACGTGTTACATGACTATACACGTGCTTACCAATAAAATATATGGTACAAGGTTAATCTAATGTTACATGCTAAACGGTTACATATCTGTAACACAGTTGTGTATGTGTTACACGATTATACATGTGCTACAGGGTTATACATTTGTTCCGCGATAAAATATAGGTTACACGTGTGTTACACGGTAAGGTATGAGTTACACGTGTGTTACACGGTAAGGTATGAGTTACACGGGTGTTTCACATTATTACTTGTGTAACACGGATAAACATGTGTTACACAGTTATACATGTGTTACACAGTTATACATGTCTTACACACAGTTATACATGTCTTACACAGTTATACATGTCTTTCACACGGTTATACATGTCTTACACAGTTATACATGTCTTACACGGTTATACATATACATGTCTTACACAGTTACACATGTCTTACACAGTTATACATGTCTTACACAGTTATACATGTCTTACACAGTTATACATATACATGTCTTACACGGTTATACATGTCTTACACAGTTATACATGTCTTACACACGGTTATACATGTCTTACACAGTTATACATATACATGTCTTACACGGTTATACATGTCTTACACAGTTATACATGTCTTACACAGTTATACATGTCTTACACACGGTTATACATGTCTTACACAGTTATACATATACATGTCTTACACAGTTACACATGTCTTACACAGTTATACATGTCTTACACACTTATACATGTCTTACACACAGTTATGCATGTCTTACACGGTTATACATGTCTTACACAGTTATACATATACATGTCTTACACAGTTATACATGTCTTACACAGTTATACATGTCTTACACACAGTTATGCATGTCTTACACGGTTATACATGTCTTACACACAGTTATACATGTCTTACACAGTTATACATGTCTTACACACGGTTATACATGTCTTACACAGTTATACATATACATGTCTTACACACGGTTATACATGTCTTACACAGTTATACATGTCTTACACACGGTTATACATGTCTTACACGGTTATACATGTCTTACACACTTATACATGTCTTACACAGTTATACATGTCTTACACAGTTATACATGCCTACACGCGGTTATACATGTCTTACACAGTTATACATGTCTTACACAGTTATACATGTCTTATACAGTTATACATGTCTTACACAGTTATACATGTCTTACACATGTCTTACACAGTTATACATGTCTTACACTGTTATACATGTCTTACACAGTTATACATGTCTTTCACACGGTTATACATGTCTTACACAGTTATACATGTCTTACACGGTTATACGTGTCTTACAAGGTTATACATGTCTTACACGGTTATACATGTCTTACACAGTTATACATGTCTTACACAGTTATACATGTCTTACACAGTTATACATGTCTTACACACGGTTATACATGTCTTACACAGTTATACATATACATGTCTTACACGGTTATACATGTCTTACACAGTTATACATGTCTTACACACGGTTATACATGTCTTACACGGTTATACATGTCTTACACAGTTATACATGTCTTACAAAGTTATACATGTCTTACACAGTTATACATGTCTTACACAGTTATACATGTCTTACACAGTTATACATGTCTTACACGATTATACATGTCTTACACAGTTATACATGTCTTACACAGTTATACATGTCTTACACAGTTATACATGTCTTACACAGTTATACATGTCTTACACAGTTATACATGTCTTACACAGTTATACATGTCTTACACAGTTATACATGTCTTACACGATTATACATGTCTTACACGATTATACATGTCTTACACAGTTATACATATCTTACACATGTCTTACACAGTTATACATGTCTTACACAGTTATACATGTCTTACACTGTTATACATGTCTTACACAGTTATACATGTCTTACACAGTTATACATGTCTTACACTGTTATACATGTCTTACACATGTCTTACACAGTTATACATGTCTTACACAGTTATACATGTCTTACACTGTTATACATGTCTTACACAGTTATACATGTCTTACACAGTTATACATGTCTTACACTGTTATACATGTCTTACACAGTTATACATGTCTTACACTGTTATACATGTCTTACACAGTTATACATGTCTTACACAGTTATACATGCCTTACACAGTTATACATGTCTTACAAAGTTATACATGTGTTATACGGTTATACATGTCCTACACACGGTTATACATGTCTTACACAGTTATACATGTCTTACACTGTTATACATGTCTTACACAGTTATACATGTCTTACACAGTTATACATGTCTTACACAGTTATACATGTCTCACACAGTTATACATTTATTACACGACTTAACATGTTCTACAGAACATTTGTTTGACTATTGAACCTGAGTTTACTGGTTGCAAATTACTGTACCAGTCACTTCCGCTAAAGATTTCTGAGAATTCAATATGAAAAAATCTCAACTATTTCGAACTTAACGTTCTATACTTTGACACCAGATATGTATTTCCATCAATTTATTTATGAAACTTACACTAAAACACTTCATATTAGGATCTATACCAACAACGGAGACGACAGCCATGCCTTCAGATACAAAGGAACCACAGAGTCTCCCCCTGGTAACGGAGACCACAGCCATGCCTTCAGATACAAAGGAACCACAGAGTCTCCCCCTGGTGACGGAGACCACAGTCATGCCTTCAGACACACAGGGACCACACAGTCTCTCCGTGGCAACGGAGTCCACAGTCGTGCCTTCAGACACACAGCGACCACAGAGTCTCCCCCTGGTGACGGAGACAACAGTCGTGCCTTCAGACACACAGGGACCACACAGTCTCTCCGTGGCAACGGAGTCCACAGTCGTGCCTTCAGACACACAGCGACCACACAGTCTCTCCCTGGTGACGGAGACCACAGTCGTGCCTTTAGACACAAAGGAGCCACACAGTCTCTCCCCGTCAGAATTTACCGGTGATGGTAATTCCTGCATCGATGATGTGATGTGTTCCCGTCCTGACCTTGATTATACATTTGTCTGTAAAGATGTAGCGACAATACAAACATACAAGTAAGTTCTGATACCCATACCAAATACATTGCATCGCAGACGATAACAACATCTTCGGACCTAAAGTTGTACGAAATGTTAAGTGTAAATAGAAATGATATTTGACCTACTTCATGCAACGGTTTATGAGATATAATAATCACATTGGTATGTCTTCAATAAGAACTTTAAGTAAATCTGAGTGCAAAAATTCTGTCATTTTCTATTTGTAAATGACGGTTATTTATAGTATCGGTTGCCTAGTTTTACAAGATACTCTTTTACTCCTTCAAGTGGTTTCCTTTACCAAACACAGTTTTTCAATTCATTAACAAGTAAAGTCGATTATGAAATAATTTACCTTTGATGTTTCCAGATGCTATCACTTTTGTAGACGATGTGGTATGTATATTTTGGTCACTGTCACAAGTTCTGTAGACGATGTAGTGTGTATATTTAGTCTGTGATACAAGTTCTGTAGACGATGTAGTGTGTATATTTAGTCTGTGATACAAGTTCTGTAGACGATGTAGTGTGTATATTTAGTCTGTGATACAAGTTCTGTAGACGATGTAGTGTGTATATTTAGTCTGTGATACAAGTTCTGTAGACGATGTAGTGTGTATATTTAGTCTGTGATACAAGTTCTGTAGACGATGTAGTGTGTATATTTAGTCTGTGATACAAGTTCTGTAGACGATGTAGTGTGTATATTTAGTCTGTGATACAAGTTCTGTAGACGATGTAGTGTGTATATTTAGTCTGTGATACAAGTTCTGTAGACGATGTAGTGTGTATATTTAGTCTGTGATACAAGTTCTGTAGACGATGTAGTGTGTATATTTAGTCTGTGATACAAGTTCTGTAGACGATGTAGTGTGTATATTTAGTCTGTGATACAAGTTCTGTAGACGATATAGTGTGTATATTTAGTCTGTGATACAAGTTCTGTAGACGATGTAGTGTGTATATTTAGTCTGTGATACAAGTTCTGTAGACGATATAGTGTGTATATTTAGTCTGTGATACAAGTTCTGTAGACGATGTAGTGTGTATATTTAGTCTGTGATACAAGTTCTGTAGACGATGTAGTGTGTATATTTTGGTCACTGTCACAAGTTCTGTAGACGATGTAATGTGTATATTTAGTCTGTGATACAAGTTCTGTAGACGATGTAGTGTGTATATTTAGTCTGTGATACAAGTTCTGTAGACGATGTAGTGTGTATATTTAGTCTGTGATACAAGTTCTGAAGACGATGTGGTATGTATATTTTGGTCACTGTCACAAGTTCTGTAGACGATGTAGTGTGTATATTTAGTCTGTGATACAAGTTCTGTAGACGATATAGTGTGTATATTTAGTCTGTGATACAAGTTCTGTAGACGATGTAGTGTGTATATTTAGTCTGTGATACAAGTTCTGTAGACGATGTAGTGTGTATATTTAGTCTGTGATACAAGTTCTGTAGACGATATAGTGTGTATATTTAGTCTGTGATACAAGTTCTGAAGACGATGTAGTGTGTATATTTAATCTGTGATACAAGTTCTGTAGACGATGTAATGTGTATATTTAGTCTGTGATACAAGTTCTGTAGACGATATTTAGTCTGTGATACAAGTTCTGTAGACGATGTAATGTGTATATTTAGTCTGTGATACAAGTTCTGTAGACGTAGTGTGTAGTCTGTGATGTGTATATTTAGTCTGTGATACAAGTTCTGTAGACGATGTAGTGTGTATATTTAGTCTGTGATACAAGTTCTGTAGACGATGTAGTGTGTATATTTAGTCTGTGATACAAGTTCTGTAGACGATGTAGTGTGTATATTTAGTCTGTGATACAAGTTCTGTAGACGATGATAGTGTGTATATCACTGTCTGTGATACATGTTCTGTAGACGATGTAGTGTGTATATTTAGTCTGTGATACAAGTTCTGTAGACGATGTAGTGTGTATATTTAGTCTGTGATACAAGTTCTGTAGACGATGTAGTGTGTATATTTAGTCTGTGATACAAGTTCTGTAGACGATGTAGTGTGTATATTTAGTCTGTGATACAAGTTCTGTAGACGATATAGTGTGTATATTTAGTCTGTGATACAAGTTCTGTAGACGATATAGTGTGTATATTTAGTCTGTGATACAAGTTCTGTAGACGATGTAGTGTGTATATTTAGTCTGTGATACAAGTTCTGTAGACGATGTAGTGTGTATATTTAGTCTGTGATACAAGTTCTGTAGACGATGTAGTGTGTATATTTAGTCTGTGATACAAGTTCTGTAGACGATGTAGTGTGTATATTTTGGTCACTGTCACAAGTTCTGTAGACGATGTAATGTGTATATTTAGTCTGTGATACAAGTTCTGTAGACGATGTAGTGTGTATATTTAGTCTGTGATACAAGTTCTGTAGACGATGTAGTGTGTATATTTAGTCTGTGATACAAGTTCTGTAGACGATGTAGTGTGTATATTTAGTCTGTGATACAAGTTCTGTAGACGATGTAGTGTGTATATTTAGTCTGTGATACAAGTTCTGTAGACGATGTAGTGTGTATATTTAGTCTGTGATACAAGTTCTGTAGACGATGTAGTGTGTATATTTAGTCTGTGATACAAGTTCTGTAGACGATGTAATGTGTATATTTAGTCACTGTTACAAGTTCTGAAGACGATGTAATGTGTATATTTAGTCTGTGATACAAGTTCTGTAGACGATGTAGTGTGTATATTTAGTCTGTGATACAAGTTCTGTAGACGATGTAATGTGTATATTTAGTCTGTGATACAAGTTCTGTAGACGATGTGTTGTGTATACTTTGGTCACTGTTACAAGATCTCTGTATGTGATATAGAGATAGAACTGTGATCTATGTATGTGATATAGAGACAGAACTGTGATCTATGTATGTGATATAGAGACAGAACTGTGATCTATGTATGTGATGTAGAGACAGAGAACTGTGGTCTATGTATGTGATATACAGACAGAGAACTGTGGTCTATGTATGTGATATAGAGACAGAGAACTGTGATCTATGTGTGTGATATAGAGACAGAGAACTGTGATCTATGTATGTGATATACAGACAGAGAACTGTGGTCTATGTATGTGATATACAGACAGAGAACTGTGGTCTATGTATGTGATATACAGACAGAGAACTGTGGTCTATGTATGTGATATACAGACAGAGAACTGTGATCTATGTATGTGATATACAGACAGAGAACTGAATTTTATGTAAACTTTTTCTGCTGATATAAACCGATGTGCATGAAATTTCTTTCATTCCACAATAATTCCAGACGATGCTTTTATCCCCAATCATAGTTTGTTGATAATTCATGGAACAATTGATGTTTTGAAATTTAAAGACCTGCAGTTCTACACCACTCAGGAAAGGCCATCAACCAGCACACCTAGACCAAGTTTATGTGACGTCACGCCACGTTCCGGTAAGCTATAAACTAATATGTCAGTTGTCATAAAAATACTTGAAAGGATTGTTTAGCTTTTTAAATTATATATATATATATTGATTTTTAAATCTTAAATCTTTTTGCGATAAATACGGCTGCTAGGGATAATATTTTCAAAAGTGGTTGACCAGCACACAACAGGAAATCTCTCAATCTTTTCTGATAAATACTACTGCAAGTCAGCGAAAAACGAATCCCATTTCCCAAACAAACATAACGCTAATAAATTAAAGTGACTTGCCACAAAGATGAAATGAGTCGATTGGAAAATTTAGAAATGAGTTTGTTCATAGTTTTGTCTGAAAGTGATCTACAATATAGGGTAAAAAATCAGTTGTATATAGCTTAAAACTTATTTTTATTTTATAGAAATTCAAAGTTAGCACAAATATCTGTCGCACGAATAAGCAAAAGTCATTTTTACGGTATCAAGCTTTCTACTTCTGTTCATTCTAAAAAGGTTAGTTACATACTTTGTGTAAAAATTGTTTGTAAACACAGCAAAAATTTCCTCGCTAAAGCAAAGAGGCAGTTTCTTTATCCCTCTGTGTGTCCTTTGCGCCTGTACCTGATTTTAGGACTGAAGTTTCTATTGTTCACACTGGATTAGGCTCAGGTGTCTAAAAGTTGATACATGGGTGCGCGTTGCGTAAAATTGCATTTGGAGCCAGAGAAGCTCCCATGTTTCAGTGCATATTGCTTAACGTAACAACTTTGATGTGAAAAATAATGCGACACATATCCAGGATATTTATTTCTGATTTAGCATTAAGATATAACATTATAATCAGTTAACCTTACATCTGTTTTAAACATTTAGGATAACAGGATGCTTTCCCCTATTGCTAAAATACTTATATCGTAATTCAGTCTTTTTATAGCTTTACCGGACTTTTATTTAAAAAAACTTAAACTCTATAGCTTTCTTTAGAATAGTAGACAATGTGTAAAGCAATATCATTGTTAAAAAACTTTTCAGAAGGGGGTCTGAAAAATGATAGATACAAAATCTTCCATTATTAATTATATCGTAAATTCAACCACCTTTTTATAACTTTTATCAAAAATCTTAGAACTCTATAACTTTATTGGAATAGTAGACAATGTAAATCAATATCATTGTTAAAAAAAATTTCAGAAGGGGGTCTGAAAACTGATAGATATAAAACTTCAATTATTAGTGGCTTTAAATGAACTATGACGTAGATAAAGTGGTCGCTGTGTCCGATTGGTTAAGGCGTCTGATCGTCCTTATAACTAGCCAATCACAGTCTTGGTCGCGGATCCCAAGGCTTGACCGCAGATCGATGTTAATTTTCCTGGGTACTCCGACTTTCCTCCACCACCCAAACATGGCACATCCTTAAATGGTCATTATTGGGATGCAGAGCAACAATAATTGTCAATAAAGATCAGAATTGATGATTAGTGTGTAAACGGTGACAATGATTGATAGTTTGGTGATGGTGATGAGGATTGCTTATGATGATAAATATATGTGGATGACAAAAGAAAATAAAAACAAAAACAAACAAAATGTTTACACCAATTACGTAACTTTGATCTGGATAGCACAATAGCATTATCAAGTAACAACAATATTCTCTATTTCTGTGTATACAGTTACAAGCTCATATAACAGGCTTAGATAAACACATAGATTTATTGCTAATCTGACAATTAATGTTGCAGAGACTTTCTTGTTTTTTTATTGTTATTTTGAATAGAGCACATGGACGTTGTCATTCTGTGTACTTTATACAGGCGGCGAGGAGTTCGTGTTTCTATATCCCACCAATAAAGTTCCCAGCGACTCCCATCTCGACCTACTGCTGGCATCAAACGAAACCGGAAGTCTGACACTTCGGGGATTAAGAGGCTTCGTGTGCCTAAACTATACATATACCACCGGAAGTAAAAGAATTGAAGTTCCACAATCGTTACAATTAAGTAAGGAAGCGATTGAAAACAAAGCCATCCAAGTAATTACCTCAAATGACGTCACTCTGCACGCGATGTATCATGATCCTTCCACCATCGATGGGTTTTTTGTTCTTCCCGTCCGTGATTTGTCAGACACCTATGTCATACCCTCCTTCGACAAGAATGGAATATTTAAGACATTTATTGGCGTAACAGCTGTGAGAGACAGCACAACTATACAGATAAAGTTACACACAGATCAGGTCTACTTTTACGACGGAAATGCATACAATGATAGGCAGACTCTCACAATCCATCTGAACGCGCTGGAAGCATTTGAACTTACACACACAGGTGACGTCACGGGAACACTCGTCAAGAGTAACTATCCAATCGCAGTACAAGCTGGGAGTCAATGTTCCAGCGTTCCAGTTGACGTTGGAACTTGTAATCATCTACAGGAAATGGTGCCACCGGTGTCGCGTTTAGGATCCATTTACATCGTGCCACCTCTAGTTAGTACCCAGGCATATTTTGTCCGGGTTATAGCTGCTTATCCTATGACCGTTGTTGATACAAAAATCAGCGATCATTCTGAAATGTCCGGTTTCATATTATCTGAAGTCGGGGATTTCAGAAACATCGAAGTGAACAGCCCTGAAATTCTCTTTATAAACAGCAGCCATCCTGTGCTGGTGGCGCATTACGCGGAGGGATTGGGTCGTAGTGAACCGGCCATGACGGTCATACCGTCAGTTCATCAGTTCCGCTTGGATTACGATATTACTGTGTCGGATCGACCAGGGTTCGATAATTATCTGTCAATCATTATTCCTACCAATAACATTAATGACATTAGGATCAATCGTGTCAACCTGACGTCACACGGATACTTCAATGTCCACAATGGCACCTATGATTTGTTGTCCTATATCCACAGCTCCGTTGAGGTGAAGGTCGTCCCAGGAGTATACCACGTGTACACCGAACCTCGTACTACAGAATTCGGACTTATTGTATATGGAGTCTCGAACGGAAACGCATACGAATATCCCGGTGGTCTCTGATCTGCACTTTCCATATCCGGCTTCTTTTAATCTATTTTCTGTTGTAGTCCTTCAATTTACATGTACATAAACAAGGGTACTGCCAATTTTAAATGTTCTGGAACTTATTTATTATTTATCAACCGATAATGACACATTTATTTACTGTGCTTTTATCGAATGTAAACTTTTTATACTGTTCGTAATAACGAAAAGGATTCATTTTAAAGATATAAAATAGAACTATATAATCCTTCTCAGATTGCGTGAACGATCGATCTCTTAAGTCGTTCAATACTCGCAAAAAATTGTCCATTTTAAAATGTGTGTTTGTTTTCATTAGATTAGTGGAAATAAGTCGGCACGGATAGGTTGGACTTTCACAAAGGAAATTTCTATAATACATAAAGCAGGTTAGAATCACGTCCAGACATCCAGCATCATAGGAAGACATATGCAAGTTTTGGGTCTACTTTCTTGATAGACATTGTCTTTTTACAGTTAATTAAAAGAAAACAAGCAAATACCAGCATGTCAACATAATCATTATCCTAATTCAAGTTCAATAAAACTACGGCAAAATATGAACAAAAGAAAGATTTACTCGGAAACTCATGAAAAAAGTACAAGGAGCATAAGACCAGGTGTTCCGGAGATGAAGCGTCTCATGCTAACGCCATGTGAACCTTGGTACACCAAAGTCAGTAATGTCACGTTCTCAAATGGGTATACGATCACATTGCGATCTTGACTCGTGTATCCTTAGTCCTCTTATGTTCTTGCAAGTCTTTTCGCAGTGGCACTTTCCATCTGGTGTTGATTGTATGGTCCGTCTCGTAGTCCTTGGACTGTTCCTGGTTGTATCCTTGAAATCCAAGCTGCTGTTTGCTTCCACTGTTTGCTGCTGTTTTTTGGTGCTGATTTGTTGTTTGGTGCTGTTATTTGCATGCAAAATATGAGTTTTCGCTGTTTATATTGCCAAAATTAAGCATTTTACTATTTTAACTTACAAAATATTTCTGTTTTACATTTTACACTGCCAAAAAATTCATTATCTTTTAAATATTTGACGTACAAAAATATTTACATCGTAAATTTCTTTTCTGCAAAGCTTTACTTTTAAAACCTTTTTTTGGCCTCAAACTATGTAGTTTGAACTTTTCCAGTATTCGGTGATATTCTAATGATGGGTATGGGTCCCCAGGGTGCGAAGAAAAACTATAGATATGACCCATTTAGAGGACATATGCTTCATTTATACTATTTTGTCGAATTCTGTGTCTCCGATGCCTGCCGCCATTCGTTCTCTTTACAAATTTTACTTGAGGTGGAAACTGAGAAAGAGAAAAAACTGTATATCTGCGATAATGAGTATTCAGATGAAGAACGATCATTTGAATGTGTTAAATGACGTTGACCGCGATGATTACCGTTGATTATTGATTTTGGAGATAAAAACGTCCGAGAAATGATGACTTCCGTACCCGACGGAGAATTTGACGGAGAATATCAGACTTTCTACGCGTTCGTCAAAGGCGTCGACATCCAGGAAATTTTACCTAATCTAGGTCGTTTGGACGCTTCCTCAAGCTCTTGATTGTCATAGAAGATCTGATGACGGAAGTGGACGCAAGCGTGTCGTCGTTGTTTTCGAAGAAGATCATCACGGAAACATTAGCGTGATGTACATCATATAAAATTATTTTCCAAAAACAAGTGACACAGAAACATCAGTCTTAATGCATATTTCATCGTGTTGATTATAAGACCTAGAGATGCTTTGCTTCAGTTGTCTTAACAGATGTTTTCGGGAGGAAACGCTCTTCCGCGAAAAGCCTACGACGACGCAACGTCTGAACTCCAAGGCAATTTACTGATAGACCTGAAAAAAGACGCTCACCCCGACCACAAATTGTGTACGGATATATTTCTCGGACAATATCAAAAGGTTTACCTTCCCTAAAAAGGTGTTCATTGAGGCACTGGCACCATAGTGTTACCATTAGCGACCAAACTCTTGGCTGGACTGTTCCATGGAATATGAGAAAAATCTCTTTGGTAATGCAGGGATACAGTGAACAAGTGTGACCTAAACCGCCGGTGAACTGGATCGTGAAATCCTTGCACAACATAGACGGCGATATGTCAAACATCTTATATGGAGACGATCTTCCGGTGGACGATAAAATCAGACTTTACACAAGTACATGTCCCGATACCGGCAATACAGACACGACAGTGATAAACTCATATCGATGGATGCCGTCCACTCGGTAGGTGTATCGAAGGGCAACGCGGAAACAACGGGGAAACAAAAGGACGCTATTCAAGACATCATCTTACAGAGTGTACCAAAAACTTTACCTTTTTAAAACGGAAATGTTGATGAATCAATTGAAAGACGTCATCAATTGAAACGAAAAGAGAGAATTTGGATACAAACGTCATACGGTGATTCCGGGTTCGAATCTGGTAGACTTTGTCGGTAATTATTCGCGTCACAGATCTCTAAAGCACGTCAGTCCCGAGGGTACGAACACTTTCCTGACGGCTCCGAGATGTAAACATTCCTCAGAATCGGATAAGTAATTAATCGTATTTAGGAAATATGAGAAACATAGCTTCCAATCCATTACAAAATACTCTTGTAATTCCTGTTACGCAGCACAGAATCCGAACGTCTCATCGAACGGAATCTCCAGTCATACGATGAAGGTTAGAAAATATCGACAAGGATGTGGTGAATTGGAAAGACGGCGACGATGACGATGACGACGATGACGACGATGACGGCGACGATGACGATAACGGCGATGATGACGATGACGACGAAACAGATTGCGGTACTATTATTTCGTTCGAAACTTCCAGATGTCATCTTCCCGTCGACCGATATCTGAAACTTTGAAACTCTGCACGAGATACAAGCCTTCGGATTAACATATCAAAAGAACACCTTATCAAACGGATCTAAAAAGTCTAAAAATAAACAGAATAAAACCAAAATACACGCTCGCAAAAAAAAGATGACGGAGTCTAGGGAAGAGACAAAGTGGTTATCTTTGGTCAGAAATTGCTGCTGGAGGAAAACGTGTTCTTTTTGTCGATTCGTCGTTCTGTAGAATGTTAATGCTTGTAACATCTATAATTTAAGTGTTGGCGATCAACAGTGGTTTTTGTGGAGTGCTTTGTTGAGCAGCAGTAGCGGTATCTATTACCTAATCCTTCCATCACAAAGAAACACGATGTTTTACAGTTCAATGGAATATTTCCCCGATAATACTTTGACCACTTACACTTCCCGATTATCGCAACCTCTAGACCTCAAACGTTCCTGGGAAATTGGTTTAGCGGAAATACAATATCCTCATTCCTGGTTAACGTGAACGAAGGCGAATTGTGGTTAGAAATGATCGACGGATGTAGTGAAAACGTCGCTTCTGTGCAGTTCGATCAGGGGCATCGGCGAAACTGCACGTGAAAGCAGGTTATTATCCGACAGTGAAAAGTCTACTGGAATATCCGTGGTGAGCAGAAGGGATGATACCGCACGGCGACATGTTCAAAATTAACGTCACCGACGTCGACAGTAGAGTTACGCTAACGATATCAGCTGGCTTACGGAACGTCGTAAACGAAAGATTAGCGAAATTGTTAGGTTAGGTAGAGATTTTCGGAAGGAAAAACACACGGGAAATTTCATTGCAGACGTCAGGGATTCTATTCAATCTACGTATATTGTCCGTTGGCAGAACCTCAAATGGTAGGTGACACGGGAATTGTTTCCATAGAAGGCAGACCAGGACGCGTCGTGAGCAAGGAATTTCAACCCATGTATTACGCAGCTCTCCATCAAAGACAATTTTAAGAAATTAACATAATGCTGAGAGACGAAAGAGATAAGCCCACTCCGTTGGAGAGGGGGGAGTTGTAGTCACGCTACATTTCCGAAGACGGTCGTTAGGCATACACTGAACTAAATCTATATAAGGAAGTACATTCTTGAAAAGGTACAAACCTACAGAAATACTTTTTGTGGCTACGACAACGTAGAAGTGAGGACAACGTTAACCAGCAGTAAAGATTCGTTTTGTCTTATTGGGGGAAGGCGACGGGTCCAAAGTGGTCATACAAGACATGTACCTGAAGCGAACCTCGACTTTGTAAAAGACCATCTGTTTATAGGACAAATGCCCAAGAGACTGGACATGGACTGCGTAGACAGCAATGCCTATAGCGGCGTCGTTACCAAAACTCCAGTTTCAGACATTACAGAATCAATGACGTCGTCTTGAACATGGACGGCAAACAGGTTCCGGCAATGCCGTTACAAGCGAATTTTACTACGAATCATTACAAAAGGAGCTACATAAGTGTGTTCAGTAGTAATTTTTTCACGAGATAATAACATTTCGAAGGAAGAATACTCTGCTTTATTTGCTCATTTCACCTTATAAAGAGAGGAAATCTCTCTCCGGAAATTAATTTCGGTGAAGCCTTGACCAAAACTATCAGTGTCATCGTGTATGCCGAATTCGACAACATAGTTAAAATCGACAGGAATCTACAGGTCTTATTTGAGGTCAATTTCAATGCCTAAAAATGAATGAAAAATGACGAAGATTTCACTTACTTTTAAAGGTTTTTATGCCAGGAACAGATTGCATCTTGCATTAACGTCGCCATGTTCGTTAGTCTGTAATACCGATCCGGATACGAAACGAGGTCAACACTGGGTTGCCGTTTGTATTGACCAAAAAAGAAGTGGAGAGTATTGTTATCCGCTCAGAAAAGATTTCGATGCAAACAGTTACTTTGCAGATAGTTTCGTTCAAAATCTCATAAGTGGTCAACAACTTGAAGGGGAATAACTATGTAAAAAAATCAATTTTGCAAACAGAAATTGCGATAATTTAAAGGAATGTAATAATTTTAATTCTTTTGTCAGTAAAATTGTAACATTTCGTATCACAATGACGACACTTCTGTTACACGTTGACAGAAGACGTAAATAGGTGTCC